CCCAGTACATATCAGACGACATACATTCAGCATACGGCAGGCAACATACATGCAGAGCAATCAAACCCCCAGACACCCCCCCAACCCCAGCACTTCATTTTTTGTCAGGCTTGTTCTTCTTTAGAATGAAAGGGCCGATAACATGCATGCCGCAGACATCAGAGCAGCAGGCAACAACCATGCAGAGCCCCCAACCCAGTGACATATCAGATGACATACATTCAGCATACAGCAGGCAACATACATGCAGAGCCACCAACCCCAGCACCCCCCACCCAGACCAACCCCCCCCCAAAAAAACCCAAAATTTTATTGCAGATTCGGGGTCCTCTCGCCGAGCGCAGAACGACCCCGGTTTCAAAAAAATAAAAAAAATAAAAAATTATGGGCGTTTCTTTGGCCTGCACGGTTTACCCGGGCGGCCGCCCCGGGCCCAACCGGCCCGGGCGAGCCCGACCAGGCAGGCCCGGCCGGGCGGTGTCCTCCCTCAGAAAAAAACAGCCGTCTTCTCCTCATATGGGGGACTTGTATTTTTACCTACCCTAGTTTCCTCCCTCTCACCTCACACTAGCTACCCATATCTATGCCCTACCCACAAGCACTACAAGGCAAGCGGCCTAACTCAGTTGCTTGAGCATGTAAGTGGCGCACAGGAGGTTGTGGGTTCGATTCACCGCTGGATCCATTCGACTCCCCACGAACCCCTGCGTGACATACTTCGGGTTCACCTACTGAGAAAATTGGCTTCTCCCTCCTGGCTGGTTGTGGAAAAGATACTCCTTTGACTGTAACAAAAAGTCGGACAAAGGCTGTTACATGCCCAGTCTGGGCGATGTACATATATAACCAAGGATCCGCAATGTGATAAAAAGGACTGAATGGACAATGGGCAAGTAGAATCTCAACAAGCAGTGTGCATTCCGATACATACAAGAATGGTTCTTTATAGCGCAGTGGAAGACTTAGATACAAGTCCTGACCTGAACGGGACTGACGGCTTTCACGTAGTGGAAGCAGAATGCTAGAATACTAATGACAAGCCCAATCAATGTCGCAATGCAGACTAAACATACATCATTCTCACCACAAGGTGTGAAGGGGCCTGGCGCTATACACAGGAAGAAGGCGCCAGGTCCAGACATGCACAGACAAAGAGGAGGGGGGAGATGGGAAAGTTGTCAACACCAAGTCTCGTTACAAGTCCCAAATAATCCCTCGTCAAAATGTCTGAAGCCCATGTCGAGTCTGGGTCCAAATGTCACCAAGCTCTCTCTCTCTCTCTCTCTCTCTCTCTCTCTCTCTCTCTCTCTCTCTCTCTCTCTAGTAGTCTGCTGATGCAGTGAAGTCAGGTAGCGAGAGGGTGAGAGGGAGATGGTAGACTGAGAAGAGGAAGAAGAAGAACTCTCTCTCTCTCTCTTTCACGTGCCAGGTACTAACCTGTGAAGATGGCGCTGTGCTGCAGGTACCTCGAAGACGAAGCTGGAGCAA